GATCGATCATAAAATGGCGTTATAATCAATCAATCAATCAAGGAATCATTCAATCAACCAACCAGCTAACCAACCAGCTAGCCAGCAAACCATCCAACCAACCAACGAATAATTCTATTATATCAGCCAATCGACCAACCAATCCACCAGTCATCCCACAATTCATAACTCTACCAACCAATTACAATCCCATTAACCACATTCCAAACAGCAATAATCATTCCTAAAATTTCCACAAAATCCTCAATAAATTTCCATATGTTACAAATTGTTCACCAAACATCATTGGGGTCGTCGTATTACGTGATCTTTGACCTTTTGAACTCTCTCCGGTTGCATTGCTTTTATTTTATGTTCGTATATAATTATTTATATATACATATTATATATACAGAGAAAGAGAGAGAAAGGGAGAAAGAATGAGAGAAAGAAAGAAAGAAAAGAGACAGAGAAAAAAAGATTTAAGTAATTTTTTTACCATTGTTTGTGAGTTTGTATGTTTTCTGGTATTTTCACTAGAAGACATAGAAAAGTTTGTATTTGTTCATCTTTATAGAGTACAAGAAAATTTAAAATTTGGGTATTTAGGTACTTTCAATTCTATTTGGGTATTTCAAACTACGCATTTTTAGTATGCATGTTTAAGGGTTAAGTGATGTGTTAAACACATAAACATCATTGCTGTTTGGTTCTTTGTTTATGTTCATTTTAATGTTTATGCAAACAAGTTTGAAAATTTTACATAAAATTTAATGACCTTATTTCGTGGCCTGCGTTGTTTTGCAATTGTTTTTAAAAAGTATACAAATACGTTTCACGTATGTGTGTGTGCAGAATGGTATGTTTTTTTGTGTTTGTTTGTGTGTGTGTGTGTTTGTTTTGTTTGTTTTTATGCGTGTTTTTTACAGTTTGTATGTTTGTTTTAGCATCGCTTAGTTTTGTTAGCATGTTTGTATTGTATGTTTGTTTTATGTTTTTGTATTTGTATATGTGACTTTTTGTACACTGTTTTTTAAAAGTGTGTATATTTTATGAATTTGATGATTCTCATATATTTTGTATAGTTTTTTTGTTTATATTTTAGTTAATTTCTGATTTGTTTAATGCATACTTTCATCATATTTGTATACATGTATGTTTTTGTATTCTTTTTGTATACATTATCGTTTTGTATTTTCTGTTTTGTATGTTCTATTTGTATTTTATGCTTTGTATGTTATGTTATTCAATGCCTCGTACAAACGAATGTTGACGTTTATTGAAGGGATGGAAATTGTATTACTGAGTGTCATGATGTCTAAAAAATAAATATTTGTATGAACGGTCGTGTGTCTGGGTGTTTGTGATATGTATATGTGTATGTGTGTGTGCGTGTGTATGTGTGGGTGGGTTTGTGTTAATATTGTCGAGCGGAGTTATGCTTCAAATATTCGTAGCTATCGGCCAGAAATGGGCGTCCGAAGCAATGCTGATATCATCCAGATAAGCGCAAACGAAAGTGGACGAAGCTTTCTCTAAGAGTGGATGAAGAGTTAGTGCGAACTGCAAAGGACCAAGGGGATCACTCTGCTACCCTTAATCCCGACAACCAACTGAGTCGGGTAGAATTTGGTCTTGAGTTCGACCACGACCAGGGCCAAGGCACATTTGCCGTCCAACCTCCTCCAAACGTTCCCGACCGCAATCGGTCTGACCCCTCCGTCTTTCTTATTTAAAGCTATTAAAATATAGATATGTATGTGTGTGTGTGTGTGTGTGTGTGCTATATTTATCAGTGCCAAAACACCAACAAGACCATCAAAAACATCAAAGATAATGACATCAACGACAATACATCATAACAAAAAAAAAACAATAGAACAAAAATGGAAACTGTGAAGTATAATGACGTCATCATAAACAATAATCACAACAACGTAAGCAAATAAAATGACGTCATTCAACTTCATCATCATCATCATCATCATCAACAACAACAACAACATCAACGACATCGTCATCAACACCAACAACAACTTCATCAACATCAACAACAACAACAACAACAATTGCAAAAGTATTCAATTTTGCATTTGTCAGCCTGTGATGAAAATGACACGGAAGTGCATTTCTAGATACTTCTGTCATCTCATAATTCATAATTCATCTTTGATGACGCTTTTGCATAATTCATCAGATGTTTCCTGTGAAAAAATGATTGAATGAATGGATGAACGTATGAATGGATGAGTGATTGAAATGGATTTCTCTCTGGAATACTGACGTTTCATAATTCATTTTAGCTGTTTCCGGTAAATGAATGAATGAATAAATAAGTGTATAAATGAACGAATGAGTGAATGAATGATTGAATAGATAAATGAATGAGAGAATGAAAAAGTGATTTTTTTAAATGACAGATGATTGAGTGCATGGCCCAGTGATTGAGTGAATGATGCTGTGATTGAATGAATGAATGTGACAATAAATGAATTACGACAAACAAAAAATATACTGATGATGAAAAGATAATAATAATAATAATGATAAAACAACAAAAATTTTCTTTCGTATATCAAAATTGTAAAAAATTTTGCCCAAAAATTAATTGAAATGACATAAAATTTTCAAAGCTTTAAAAAAAATTTATTTTAAAAAGTTGAAAAAGAAATTTATTTCTACTATATGAATTCTCGCTATTCAGCTAAACCATTGAAACGTCTAATAGAAAAAAAAATAATTTTTTTCAGAAATACAAAAAAATACGGTTTATTGAAGAAATATATTTCTGAAGTTTACTCATGATACCAAAAAATATGCAAACATACAAACAAACTAACAAACAACAAAACAAAATCATACAATTATCAAAACGTACAGCCAATGGCCATGCAACAAAAAGAACTTACAAACATACAAAAAACTACCATGGAAACAAACTAAGACATACAGAGAGATATGAAAAGTATTGAAGAACAGGAACAAAAAAACATACAAACAAACAAACAGAAACGAAAAAACAAAAACATACAAACATATAAACAAAAAGATACAAAACATACAAACAAAAAGATACAAACATAAAAAAGGAAAGAAAAACGTGAGAATTATTTGAATAGGATAGCAATGCCAGTCATCTTGTAGCACTAGCAATCTGCATAGATCTGCATTTTCTTCTAACACCCAACCACACATACAATATACCCCATCTAAATTAAACATTCAAATTTCAAATGTCTCAATATACGTTTTTCTATGTTTGTTTGCTTGTCTGTATGTATGTATGTATGACTGTATGTGTATGTATGTTTGAAAGTGTATGTTCGTATGTAACTAAGTATGTTGGTTTGTATATATTATCTATACAAAATATATGCATGTATGTGTAGTTGGATATTTTTATTGACATGCATTTTTGTACGCATGTATGTACATTTTTACGTATTTGTGTATCTATGTTGGTATGCCGGATTATTTGTAAATATTTGCTTCAATTTGGGTATAGTTTAGGGTATTTTTGGGTATTTGTGTGACTGTTTACGTGTATGTGAATTCAAATAGGGTGAGGTAGTGATGCTTTGAAGTCATTTCGTTTCTCAGGTCGGCAATAAAGCAATCCAATTAAGGCATGCGAACAATCAGCAGCGTGATAGTGTGAGTGAATGAGTGAGTGAGTAAATGAGTGAGTGAATGAGTGAGTGGGTGAGAGATTGAGTGAGTGTGTGATTAAGTGAGTGTGTGAGTGAGTGAGTTAGTGAGTGTGTGAGTGACTGAATATAAGTATAAACGAAAACGAATGAATGAATGAATGAATGAACGAACGAACGAACGAATGAATGAATGAATGAACTTTTGATTGATTGAATGAATGTGATTGAATAAACGGAGAGAAAATGAACGAAATGTGTAAGTGAATGAATTAATAAATGAATGAATGAATGAATAAATGAATGAATGAATAAATAAAAATATTGATAAATAAGTGAGTTCTAATATGCTAATATAAATTTATTCTTGGATGGACAAAGGGAAAAAACAATCATATTGCATTTCAACTACTCCAACATGCTTTCATTAAAACCGCGAATCTGAAAAAGCTGTTTTGTGTCGATCTACTACTATCTTTCGAACGAAAATTAAAATAAATATTATTTAAAAAAAAATTAATTTCATCAAATTATTTTATAAATAAAAATTTCATTGGCCAGATTTGCCAGATTTATTAGCCGGATTTACGAGTTTAAAGTCCCCGGATCAACAAGAGAGTGGGAGTCTCCGGGCGAGAAAGAAGTGGAAGTCCCTAATTATTTTGGACTTCCTGTAGAATTGAAAGTCCTTTAATTTCTGTAAAATTGAAAGTCTTTTAATTATTTAGACTAGCTACTAAGTGTTCAGTGAAGGTTTTTAACTTCATCGAAATTTTAATGTCAATACTTTATAACACGCCGATAACATTTATGCTAAAGTTACAAATATCATTGTTCTCCTTATTGTACTCCTTTTTTTTATTTATCATTTTCTTTTTCTTTTAATTATTTCATCACAATCACAATATGAAAAATTGGATTAAGCTAGAACAGACATTTAACTGAATTTCTTGTCATAAAAACTTAAAATATGAAATTCGAATTGCAATACAATTTCAGAATCCAGCAATTAAATTTGTGGTAGAACTTTTTAAAAAATATGTAAACTTTGTTTAGGGAATTAGTTTAATTAACAAACACGTTTTGGTTAGTTTTGTTTGTTAAATTAGTTTAATAAATTCAATAAGAATTTTATTAAAAATTTCCAAAAAATGTGTGTGTGTGTATAAATGAGATAAACTTATTGAGACTTAATTACTACAGTTACTAGTGCTATTTCATCTGGCAGTACTGCTACATGACAAGTATTACAAAAATTACCACTGTTAATATTTCTGTTGACACGACAAATATTGCACGTAGCATGTAATATTGTCATCAATAGCAACAACATTTTTTCAAATTACGTGTTAACTTCAGCAAACTATTTTTTCATTATGGGCTGTTCATAGAGGATGATGTCACTTTTTGAAACGTTTTTTTTGACCCCCCGCTTCCTTTTCCCGAGTCACAAACTTTCAAAAATATTTCGACCCCCTCTCCCTCTTGAATTGTGAGACATCCTTTATGGACGGCCCGTTAAAAAAATACTAACTTGCCATTAGCGTGATAATTATATTAGAAAACTTATTGGAAACAAACATGGACACCGTGAAAGCAATAACAATGAAGTGAACGAGAGTCACAGCTGCATTATTTTCTCGATCCGCAATGTTTCCACCGCTCCAGAAACTGCACTCCACAGCGTAAAAGACAGCAATGAAAATCATAATAAAATTTTCCAGATTGCTAAAGCTTCCGGAATCATTAATTTCATTATTCGCATTTCCAGCTAGGCACTTGGTAAGAAAGAATAGCGTGAGGGAGAGTGAAAGAAAATATTCAAAATTCTGTAGAAGGACGACGACGTAATAAGCGGCAGCTGCAAAGCCAGTCACGCCAACGACGAAAAACGCAACTAAATAAGCGGCGACTACAAACGCGACTGCACAATCGGCCACCGCCACTGACGACGACGACGCACCACTGATCTGTTTGATATTTGAAAGTTCCATCCCGCCATCCCAACCTGGAAAGTCGATGGCTTTTAGGGATTTGGGGACCTGGTAGTAGCGAGTGTTCTCCGTAGGCCCAACCAAGATCTGGATGAAGGGAGTGGTCGTTGTTGTGTTGGTTGGGCAGATGGTGGGTGGCATTGTGGTGGTGGGGTGGTTTGTGAAGTATGATGGTGTGGGGGTGATGAAAGTAGAAGAATGCAGTGTTACTGATCATTCACATCATAATAATCTCGGGTATAGATGTTTAGCATGAAAGACTAATTGAAATCTGAAAAAATTATTTCAACCGATTAAATAAAATTATTAGCCCACCAGCTAGAAATGAACTAAAAAATCATTCACCAACATAAAAAACCCACAATGCATGAACCACCCCTCCAATCAAACATACATCGCCAACAAACCCCACAAACATTTTGAGAGTTGCAAGCATCGAAACTGCACATGCAAGCAAAGGCCTTCTTTCCAACAAGCAGGGCATCATCACATTCGTCCTCGACTATGGACACATGCTCACATGACCTCTTGACCTTTTCTTGACCTTTTAAATTTTTTTTTAAGAATTGTAGATAAACATGTTGTTGAATTAAACTAATAAATAAAAAAATTTAATTCGCATAAAAAGCTTGTTATTACCAAGTAACTTATTAAAACAATTCAAAATTTAATCTAAAAAACTAAAAACTATCATATTAAATAGCAGAGTAATTAATTGATCAATCAAATCAGACCAACCGCTATCTTCGATTATATGTTCGAAGTAACATTTATCCCCATCGTAGGAGCACTGGATCAAATTTCTAGGTACAAAACAGTCCTCACACGAGAAACATATCAATTGGCCAGGGCTCCGCGGGAGGTTAGCCACCGAATGCACAATGGAATTCTCTCGCGGGAGAGCCGCGAGAAAAACGGCGAGATGGAGAAAAAGACTTCGCGAAGACTCCACGAAAGTCATATGGTCAAAAATTGTGACAAAATATATGAGTTTGACGATAAAATTTGGAGTTTTTAAACGTTTTTAAATATTTGCTCGATAATTTATTGTTTGTTTACCTTTGAACCATCCTACACACGTGATACTGTTTGTTTATTTTTGGAAGAAGTTGTGTTTACTAAAATTCAAACAAACAAAACGTCAGAGAAATGGAATGGGTGTGGTAAATTTTATGATTTTGTGAACAATTTTGTTGGATTTGTTATGGTTGATTTCAATAATATTGTTAGATTTAATGATTTTGTTGATAAATTAGGGCATTAATCTCACAGTGACTCTCCTCACACAGACTTTAATCTTCTGTACCACTTTAAACCCTGCTATGTTATGTTATGTTAAATTAACTGATTTTCATTTTTTCGATGCGATGTTATTATAAACATAGTTAATAGTATTGACAGTTCTTAGCGGTACATAAAGTGCATTGGCAGAATGAAACCGATCATACAGTTATTTCATTATTATTTTTATTACCAGTTTGTTAATTAAATCATTCATTTTTATTTGATTTCATAAGTTTTAAAATTTGTTAAATTTGTTAGATATAAATTTGAAATCAAATTAGCCTCAACTGCTTCTGTCATCAGATTTCATTAAAAGTTTTTTCATCATTAAACGAAATTTTTTTTAAACTTCTGGAAAAATTTCTTTTATAAAGTATAAAAATTAGTTTAATATCTACAAGCGTTTGAAGAGAAAGGGAAAGGAAAAAGAAAAAGAAATTTGTGTACTATTACAACAAATGGCATTAATATAATGACATCAATGCTATGGCAATCGTACTTTAATTAATGTAAAGTGAGCTAAATTCATCGTTAATATCGTCCTATGTTCATCAAGTGTGTGTGTGTGTTTGTCTGTGTGTCTGTGTGTGTGTGTGGTGTGTGTGTGTGTGTGTGTGTGTGGAAGACTATTTTTGCTATGGTGACGATTTATGCTTTGTTATTCTTTATTCAAAGCACATTTAAAGCAAAAAGATGATTATTTTTAATAAATAAATAATGTATGAAAAATATTAACAGTTTTATAGAGAAAAATTAAATGCTATATATATATATATGTGTGTGTGTGTGTGTGTGTGTGTGTGGTGTGTGTGTGTGTTTTACCCAAATAAATGACCTCTATACATATAAAAATGCGGTTCAATATTTTGCTGTTGCTTATTGAAAACCAATAAAGATACACACATTTATAAAATATAAATAAATATGTTTCTTTCTTTTTTCTTTCTCTCTCTCTCTCTCTCTCTCTCTCTCTCTCTCTTTCTTTCTTTCTTTCTCTTTGTCATTTAAATACATATAAATATTTATGTAACATGTTATTAAAAATAAATTAGCAAGGCACAAGTGGTAGAAAATTTCATTTTTTTGTGATACGTGTGTGTTAGTCTGTCTGTTTGTTTGTGTATGTGTGTGTGTGTGTTTGTCTGTCTGTTTGTGTGCGCGCGCGTGTGTGTGTGTGTGTGTAATATTTTATGTGCAATATGTACAGAAATTTTCGTATGTATTTCACAAATATATATTTACATTTATAAAGCAATATAACGAAATAAAATTAACTAACAACTTAATAAATTGACTTCAAACGTTCAACAAAGTTATTTACACGCACATAAACAAACAAATACACACGCATAAACACATACAAACATCCATAAACACGCATCTATTCACAAACACACATAAACGTATACACTCACTCATACAAACACACACTCACTCATACAAACACATCTATTAAAATTATTATTAAAACAGTAATTGAAAATTGAAATTAAATAAACTATCTTTTAATTTAAGTCGAAAAGTGTGTTAACATTATATTGAATATTCATTCATTCATCCATTCGTTCGTTCGTCCATTCATTCATTCATTCCTTCAATCCATTCAAACCTACGAACTAAACAATTAATACACTAAACTCTTACTAATTTCATTGTACGTTATTCTTGTTATTGCCTACATACACTCATTCACACATACAAAAACACGAAACCAGCACACACACACACGCACGCACACAACTACTCACAGACAAACCTTTCCTCAACGACATCGCAGTAATCACAGGTGACGTCACAACACCACACAAACGAACAGTTACACTTCTGTACCTCCCTAACCGTCACTTTCTTATAACCCCGCCCACAACACATGACGTCACAGCCGTCCATGCCCATGGAATTCTCGATGCACTTTCGACCTTTGACCCCGGGGTAGCCTAGACTCGGGTCAGGGTCACAGAACGTGGGCGAATCTTCGTAGTAGACCAAATCGAATTTTGTTGGTTTCTTGTGTTCAGGATTGTGTGGCAGCAGTCGCCGCTTTTCGTGCTCGTGGTGCGAGTTGCCTGAATAAATTAAATAAATTTAAATAAATTAAATAAATTAAAAAACCTAATCAACCGTAGAGTTTTGAAATCATCTCTCCAATGAAAATTTCTGAATTTGTCTGTCCATGACGATTACTACCGCAAAAAATGATTTCGTAATATATTCAATGATTAATATTAATGATTATTTATGATAATTAATATTAATGATAATGTAGGATAATTAATTAATATTAATGATAATTTATGAAGTTACAAGACCAGGTTGTGATCAGGCGGAACGAAGTTTATTGTTGCGTATGACACCGGCTGAGTCAAATGAAGAATTTTTTGACGTTAACACGTCACAGAAGTATGCTTAAAATTCGAAAAATGTTGTTAAATAGTAGTTTATATAGTTTAGATATAAACCTTCATTTGTATTTGTTTGTTTGTTTGCTGGTTTGTTCGTTCGTTTGTTCATTCATTCATCCAGTCATTCATTCGGTCATGCATTTACTTATTTTCCTAAGCAATAAAAGCAGCTATGCAAAAAATTTACAGATAAAATCTTTATTACTATATTAATATTTACATTTAAAAATTTTGAGTAAGTATAATATTGATATTAAAAATTACATTAATAATAATAACAACAACAACAATAATAATAATTGTTATTATATTTAGTTTTTTTGTCATTTTATTTTCTTTATTTTTTTTACAAAATTTTACCATTTAGACATCAAATGATTTTGGCTAGTCTAACAAACACGCTACGACTATTACCACAGTATGTATATCATATATATATATTATATATATATATATATATATATATATATATGTCTGTCTGTCTGTCTCTGTGTGCGTGTGTTTGTAATGCCTGGGCTATTCATTGCATTGTGATGTGATGTGAGTTGCATTCAATAGTAGGCTAGTGATATGACATCAAAAATAAACACAACCAGAACAACAAACATAACATTAACAACAATTACAACAAATGTTACAACAACAATTACAACAAATGTTACTACAACAAATGTTACAACAACAATTACAACAAATGTTACTACAACAAATGTTACTACAAAAATTACAACAAATGTTAAAACAACAATTAAATTAAAGGTTACTACAACAATTACAACAAATGTTACAACAAAAATTACAACAAATGCTACAACAACAATTACGACAAAAAGATTAATGAAAATAAAAATAATAAAGCATTAGTAATATTAATATTATTAATATTATTGTAACAATAATAAAAATGTAATTATAAAAACAATAGTAGCTCTAACTAAAACTCTAAAATTTGCAATTTGCTAAATTTAGAGTATATAGTTATATTGTTGGTGTGTCTGTAAGCGCCCTTCAAAAAGATCACAGAGGCGCTAACGATAATTGCAGTACATTGCGTGGCACTTTATTAAAGCAATGCAGTGAATAGAGAAAAGATGATATTAGCACGGGTAAGCTTGGACAAAATGATGGTGTTCCAGCCTTTTACGAAATTGAATAAAAGACAACACAGGATTTTGAAGGTCCCTAGGCAAACCCTTCCAGACAGCAGGACCCATTACGGAAAAATTCCTTTGACCAAGAGCCAAGTTTGTGTCAGGTACAAACAGTAAACCTGAATTGTCGGACTTATTTTGAAAATAACTCTTTGATAAACCGAAAGCCAGCGAAGAGCAAAAAGAATTAGCATAACGTGATCGTATTTAAGGCCGCTTGAAACCAACCTTGCGGCCAATTTTGAACCGACTGCAGTCTAGACATATTTACACCAAACAAGCCGTAATATATATTATTTCAATAGTCTATTTTTGAGTGGATGAAGAAATGAACAAGAAGTCATTGAAGAGTACGCTTGCTTATAGATCTTTTGATGCGCCTAAGCCTACGCAATTGTCCAGAGCATTCATTCGAAACTGCCCTTGTGTGAACGCTAAAAGACATGTTACTATCAAAAACAAATCACAGGTTGCGAGCAGATGTGCAAAATTCAATGTCAGAATCACAAAGTCTGATGGACTCAATGTTCATTTTTTTGATGTTTATTTTTTCCAATCACATACATATTTGTATATATTTATTTTATTTTTGCTTGTATTTATTTCCTATTATGAAAATTTAAAAGCACATCTTAACACGCAAGAATCCACGCATCACGTACATTGCATTTGGCCGGTATCGGGAAATCTTCTTGTATTCGAACCTGGTAACTGAAAGTGCAGAACCAAGCGCCTTAATTTTTACACCAACTTTTTGCTGATATATGTGTGTATGTAAAAGTCCACACAAACACTCATACACACACAAACACATATACACACACTCCCACACACACACACAAACGCACATACAGGCAAACGCACACCGAGACAGTCAAACAACAAAACAAAACATCACCTAAACCTTGATCAACTTTGGTGGCTCCGTTGAACTTTTCCTTCAAGATGGCGGCAACCAATGAGATGGAGGGCATCTTCATCCAGCAGGTTTTAAGGGAGCAGGTGCCAGACATACCGTGGCATTTACATTCTTTCTGCATGTTCTGTAGCACGTGCTGATGTTGGATTTTATTTTGTGTCATCATCTTCACTGTTGTTATAATCATTTTCATCATCACCAACATTCTCCTCATTGCTTTTGTTGTCATCATCGTAGTTATCGTCATCAATCATCGTCATCATTGTCATTCCCCATCGGTTAACAAAGTTTTGAGTTTGGTTATTGTAAGTTAGTTTTAAATATAGTATAATATTGATAACATCGACGAGAATAACAATAATAACATTGATGTTTAAATAGCGTATAATTTATGATCAACTCAGACGATCAAAATCCGAGTTGTTTATTTGTCGATTGCATGTTTGACTTGTTGACTTGCTTGTTTGTTTGTTCGTTTCTTCATTCTTTCATTTGTTTGTTCATACGTTTGTTTGTTTGTTCGTTCTTTCATTAGTTTGTTCACATGTGCGTTTGATTGTTTGTTTGTTCATTCTTCAATTAGTTTGTTCATGCGTTTGTTGGTTTGTTCATTCAATGGTTCAATTGTTTGTGTGTTCATACGTTTGTTCGTTTGTTTGTTTACAGCTTGCACGTTCGTACGTTTTAGTTGCGTTGTTGTATTTGATGTAGGAGTGAAAATTAAAAAATGGGATTGAATGAATGACCCTGAGGTCGATCATGATGATATCAAAATGATAAGAGTGAAGATAACGACGATGATGACAATGATGGTTGTGAGAATAAGGTCAACAATGACAAAATGATAAGACACACACATACATACACACACACACCAACACGCAAACACACACACACACACACACACACACACACACACACACACACACACACACACACGTTTACACTTGTGTGGGCCGTGTACGTAGAAACCAATTTAACGACATTGGCACCTTATACACACCATTAAACATCACACACCACAAACATACACGTCTAGATATAGATATGCACATACACACATACATACATACATAGACACATACATACATACATACATGCGATGTATTATGATTTCTCGTTTGTTATTTCAATTATGTTGTTAAGTTCAGTTTTTGTTAGATAGCGCTTTTGAGATTCCTTTAATTAGCGCTTCATAAATGTTTCAATAATAATAATAATACATACATACATACATACATACATACATACATACATACATACATACATACATACATACATACATACATACATACATACATACATACATACATACATACATACATACATACATACATACATACATACATACATACATACATACATACATACATACATACATACATACATACATACATACATACATACATACATACATACATACATACATACATACATACATACATACATACATACATACATACATACATACATACATACGCCACACAAACAAATGAAGGTAGACGACACAGAATTAGGCAGTTCTTTCAAAAGTATTCAAATTCAATCGAAGATTTGATCATTCAGCTAATTTAGTGCATCCTTAAATTTTATTATTGGTGCTTTTTGTTTAATCTTATTATTCTTTTTATGGTAATTATTATTATCATTATTGTTGTTTGGCTTCCGATTTTTGTTGATCTTTTGTATGCAATGTTCAGGAGATAGCGTGTAATGATATCTAATATTAAATAACTGTCTGTTTGAGTTTGTATACGTTTGTAAAAATTTGTATATGCTTGTATATGTTTTGTCTTTTTTGTATATGTTAGTATAAGTTTGAATATGATTTGTCGTTTTTGTATATGTTAGTATAAGTTTGCATATGTTTTGTCTTTTATGTATATGTTAGTATAAGTTTGAATATGTTTTGTCATTTTTGTATATGTTAGTGTAAGTTTGTATATGTTTTGTATTTTTTATATATGTTTGTATGTTTTGTATAAGCATTTCATTGTTTTTTGTCTTTTGTAAGCATTTGTTTAAATATTTAGCTTAAATGCATATTTTCGTGTGGTTTGTTTTATTAAAAAATAATATATATTTAATTATATTTGAGAGAAACTCTTCAAGTTTTCGACTAATTTTAATTCAATTAACCAGCAAATCATTGGTATTTCCAACGTTTATCTGTTAGAAACTTTAAAATTTTCAAATATCAATTAATTTTACAATAATTTTATGTTATAATGTATTATGTTTTAATAATTTTAATTCAATTTTTCAAAAATTTCCTGTAACTTCACCACAAATCGCCCAAACATCATCAATCAAAGTTGATCAACTCAACCACGCGGTCAGCTCCGAGTGACTTAAAATAGAAACTCCAGAGCGCACATTAAACATTATAAATATAAATCATGATAAAGAGTGCATATACATTAATAATATTTTTGAAAGATTCATTCATTTTTATAAGAGAGAAAGAATAAATGTGCGCGTGTGTGCGTGCGTGTTTGTGTATGTGTGCGTGTGTGAGAGCGTGAAGGTATGTATGTGTGTGTCTACAGGTGTTCAAACGTCTGTTTGCGTTACTGCCACCAATGCTGTTTGATTGAGCGTTTAGTTCTCATGAAGTAAAGAAGCACACACACAAGCACACGCATACACACACTTATACATGCACACACTCTCTTTTGCACAAACACATGCTCACACACACACACACACACACACACGTGTAAACACATAAATATATACATAATTATATAAATAATATATATATATATATATATATATATATATCATATATAATATATTTATTGTTGAAGTTAAATATATTTACAGATGCTTTGGTATTTAATGTGTGTGTGTGTGTGTGTGTGTGTGTGTGTGTGTGTGTGTGATGTTAGTTTGTGAGTGTGTAATGTGTACGTGGTTTACATGTTAAGCCAAGTGTAAATTAATAATTAAATAAACTGTTTGCATGTAGAGGCTGTTGAGTTTTCATTTGTTTAATTGTTATATTATTTTTTTTAAATTTGTCATTTTTTCAAACACATCTTTTCCTAACCCTATAATATTATTATTAATAAGGATATTATTGCTAATTTTATTATTATTACTAATTTTATTATTGTTATTACATCGTTCATAACAATAGTATTATTATTATTAATTATACATTTATTGTTTTATTCCATGTAAACATAAAATGCTTCAGGTTCAGTTTTATCGCAGCAATAATGCTTTCAATGGAGTAATAATTGTGAATTTATTGTAAACTATGAATCATATTAAATCATATAACCGGTTATATGGACCACCTACTGTTCTGACCACCGCATATTAGGATCGTATCTTTGAGGATTGAGTCCATTCCTCTTTGGGAGGATTAATTTTTTTGATTATTTGGACCGGAAATTTGAAAAAAACCCCGCTTAATTGGGCCGAAAATCACCATAACCATCATCATTATCGTTATCATCATTATCGTCAGTACAATCATCGTCGTCGTCGTCATCAGCAACACCTCGTCACGTACCAAATCCGAAAGTAGAAGGTGTAAAGGGAAAACAAACAAATGAAACAATGCAAGTCTACATGCACACCACATACACGCATACAAACATACATACATACATCCAACCAGTCAACTAAAAAACCAACAAACTAACAAACCAACCAACTAATCAACCAATCAACCAATCAACCAACCAATCAACCAACCAATCAACCAACCAATCAACCAACCAATCAAACAACCAACCAATCAACCAACCAACCAACCAACCAACCAACCAACTAATCATCAACCAACCAACCAACCAACAAATCAATCAACCAATCAACCAACCAATCAACCAATCAACCAACCAATCAAACAACCAACCAACCAACCAACCAACCAACCAGCCAACCAACCAACCAACCAACCAACCAACCAATCAATCAACTAACACACCAACCTGTCTGCCGGCTCGACTGTTGTGCTTGAGGACTCCACTTTTCAGATCTCGGTATTTCTCGCCTCGATCGATGAACTCGCGCGTGAACTCGCTACCGAAAATATCGTTATCGTTGCAACCGTCCCATCGCCACTCAACGTCGTTCTGAAATGTTCGTCGGTCAGTTTTGATCAGTTGGTCGGTCGGTATATCGGTCGGTATATCGGTCGGTATATCGGTCGGTTGGTTGGTTGGTTTGTTGGTAAAATGTTGCATGAACGAATGGTTAATGAATAATTGAATGATTGAATGAATGAATGAATAAACGAATTAATAAATGATTGAATAAACCAATGAATAAATAAAATAAATTTACTCTTATTACAATAAATAAAAAAAAATTACTATTATTACGATTGATTGAATGAATGAATGAATAAACGAATGAATAAACTAATAAATAAAGGATTGAATAAACGAATGAAAAAATAAAATAAATTTACTATTATTACAAACAAAATTAAAAAATATCTTCATATTGACATTAAATACATTTAAAGGTTACTTACATCTTGAGTTACATAGTCATTATCAATATTATTATTGTTGTTGCTATTAGTGTAATGCTTTTTGTTATTATTGTCATTGTTGTTGTTAATGATATTATTATTATTACTATTAATGTTATTATAATTAATGTTATTTATTCTGTTGTCATTACGCAAGTTATTGTTGTTGTTATTGTTGTTGTTATTGTTGTTGTTATAATTTCTGATCTTTTTACTATTGTTTTTTTTATTCGTTTTTCTTTTTTTACTTTGATTGGCAGTTTTTTGTCGGTTAATTTTTCTGTAATGTTTTTGGTTGCTAAAATTGTTATTATTATTATTGTTGTTGTTTTTGTTGTTGTTTTTGTTGTGGCTGATAATTGTAACATCTCTTATTTTAAGTCTCTGGTTGTTGTTTTTTAAGACGTCACGTTTAAACCTTTTTTTAACTTGTTGTTGTTGTTGTTGTAAATGTCTTTGATTCCTGTTATGTTTGTCCAGAGCTCTTTCATAAGCCATCCAATGATAATTTTGCTGATAAAGCTTCTGAAACTCTTGGAACTGTTGTTGTTGGCTAAGTTGTTGTTGCTGCTGTAAATTTGATTGTTGTTGCTGTTGTTGTTGTTGCGGTTGCTGTTGTTGCTGTTGTTGCTGTCTAGAATGTTTCCGCGACGATCTATGCAACGAGTCAGGTATAGACCGTTGCTGATGTTGTTGCTGTGATGGTTTTTGTTGTTTCTTATGATGTTGTTGTTGTAGCAACCTTGGATGTTGCTGCTGCTGATTAGATTGTAGATTTTGATACTGTTGTTGCAGAAAGAGTTGTTGCTGTTGTTGTTGCATTTGTTTCTCCTGTCTTCGATGCTGCAAAAACGACTCCAACATTTCGGCTTCTCTCTCTTCTTCCTCCATTTTTTTCTGCCACTGTAGCTGCTTCAGATACGACTTGTAGACAGGGTGGTGGTCGAGAGCGCCGCAACTACATCCACTGATCATGTTACTGCTACAGCCTTGGGCTATCGAGTGCATAAGGGAGGCTGATGTCAGGGATTGTAGGTAGGAGGTTTCTCTATACCCTGTTTGCGAGTTTAGTGAATTATTTGTGTATTGTGTATAGTGAATTAATATTGAACCTTTAACCTTTAGTGAACTTTTATTTTAATCATTTATGATTATGAATGTTGTTTTTATTCGCTGTTATAAATATTATTGTTGTTGTTGATGTTTTTTTTATTTAGCATTGTGATTTTTTAAACTACGAATTTGTATTAATGATTGTTCTCAACTCTAAAGCGTCATTATCTTCAACATTTCCAAACAATTTTATCACTTTGAATCTTTCCAGTGTTAAGCGTGATGACACATCATTGTCTTTAAATTTTAAAAAATTTTAATCAAACTTTTTTTTTATCACATTATTGATATTATCACATCATCACACATTACAATCACATCACATCACCACACATCACGATCACATCACGATCACATTAAAACATCAACAACCTGCCTTTATTCGTAATCTTTCCAAAAAGCGACCTCCCAAACAGTAACGAAGACGCGGCTAGGGGCGTGACCACAGAACAATTCCACCTTCTATATGCCATCTGTCGCGCGCACTCGTCAACCGCTAATCTAGCCGCCCTGGCCACAAACCTCAGACTGCCGTGATGGTTCAAGATCAGGCGATTTTGTCGCTTTGATAGTAGCCGCGCGTGTGGGTGGTCGTAGAGGATGGATGCTGATTGGTCTAGGTGGGGTTGGGATGAATTGGCGAGGGGGACTATTGTAAAGTAAGCCAGGTTCCTGGAGAATGGAAATCGGTGAAAATTTTTGGCGCGATGTGTGTCGGTTGATAAAAAACTTTTCTTTGTAGTTTGTTGTGTGAGTGTCTGAGATATTATTTACGTTTCATGAGTTTTTTTATATTATTTTATTCATAAGTTATTACAGAATATTAAATTTATCTGCTGCGGGAAAGAAAATGTCATCCAAAAACGTGCAATTTTCGAGTTTATTTTATTAAAAAAAACATGAAAACTATTATAACCGACAACCTCAACAACAACATCAACAAAAAAAACACCAAAGACAACAGCAGCAACAAAAACTAACCACCATTGTGTTGAATAGTCAGTTATTTTTGTACTGGCAACCCTTTTTTCAACTATATTTTTCTGCTGTGCTAGAGCCAAATTAGTCACGAAATACTCAATGTGTAGCAAGCATATCACTGAGCATTTTACTGAATTTGAAATCATCGTGAAGTGTTTTCCGAGCAAAAGGATTCAACTTAAATATAAAAATCAAATTGCAAAGAGTTAAGTCGTAAGAATTAATGCTTCCTTTTATAGTTTTGATCTAGATTCAACTTTGCAGTTGATGTCGTTGTTGCTGTTGTCTGTAATTTTGATGTTGATGTTTTTGTTGAGGTGGTAGGAGTTCTTTTTATAGAAAACTATTCAACTTCTTGACGAAATAACGTCACAATGGAGTAATTGTAGAAGTAGCTGCATGTAATTCTTTGGTGGTAGTTGTTTTTTTGTGGTTTTTAGCAAACTTTTATTGGCGACGACGATCGAGGTAGGCACAAACCTCGACAATGGTTTAAATAGACTGTTAAGTTTTGGTGATGGAAACCTCGAATGGCGTTGAAATTTATACAAAACTCCGCCACGGGTGACAAATAGAATAATGGTATTAACTGGGATTATAATAATAAAAATAGTAGTTGTAATAAAATAATGATAATATAAATATAATATTAATACTATAAATAATAATAAGACAGGCTTTCCTAAGCAGAAATTGTAATTTTCAGTGTTATAAAATGGTTAAAAAATAGCAGAAAGTGTTATCGTTAATTTAAATTATCAAGTTAACTATTTATGAATATATATATCCTATATGGGCGGACGGATTGATCGTAAAATTAACAATATCCAAAATTCCATATATCCCAATCTGGAGTTATCCCATTTTGGATATCATCCTGAAATGTTAAACGATTTTTTTTTCCACAAATACAACTAGCTATAAATTTAACTAATGAAAGAAACGTTAAAGTAAAATTATGGTACAAATAAGTTTATATATCTTAAATTTAATTATTTTTATTCGCTGCTTGAAATAACATAATTACATTTAATTAATAATTAATCCCAGATAATGATGACAATTAAAATGAGATCTGATTTTCAGCCGTTTATTAATAGCCACGGTGAAACTTAACTTAAGACACCACCATTTCCTAAGCGCGAATTGAGCGTTTTCAGACTAAACCTCTGATATGAAATGGAATTCTTAAATAAATTTCATTCACGCATCGCTGATACGTTGACATATTAACATATACCACAGTCAACTAGCTAGAAAAGAAAATGAACTTACTCAAAATAGAATTGCTAATAAATCGTTGTGTAATTTCTTATGAAACTGTAGGCAAAAAAGTTTGCAAGGTGCTTATTGGCCGGATGTAGGTGTGTATATATATGCACACACTCACGCACATAAACACGCACACACACACACATACAAACACACACGCACATATGAGTACGTCCACAAATTTGCACGTACACATACATACACATTTACAAATATTTAAATAAGATTTTTGCTAATGTGTTTGCGAATGTACGTGTTTATGTCTGTGAACGTGAGTAAAACGAAAGTGTTTGTAAGTTTGGGTGTATGTATGTGTGTGTGTGTATGTGTATCTGTGTGTGTGTGACTCTTTCGTTCGATCACCTCACTATCATATATGTGTGTGTTATATATGTTTATATATATATGTGTGTGTGTGTGTGTGTGCATGCATCAGTGTGTGTGTGTGTGTGTGTACGTGTATATACGTATTTCTATATATGCATATTTACTCTATAATAAATATACAACATCGGGTATCCATTTTGATGTAAACACTTACAACCTTTAGAAATGAATGCGTCAATTAAAATTTTCCGACATTTTTATTCCAAGTTAAAGACTGTCTTTTAAGTTTTTCCTGTAGCTTCATAAGTAAAATAGAAAAATTGAAATGGATAGAAAATAAAATGAAATACTTGCTTATAGTAATAACATTAGTATTAGTAGTAGACTTATAATTGTATATGCATCACTCTTTCTTTCTGTTTTCCTCTCTCTCTTTTTCTCTCTCTCTCGTCATTATTTTAATTAAAAAAAGTCAATCAAACGTTACACAAACATCTTTAAACATCATTAAACACTTTAAACCTTGCATAACAAACATTCTTAATTTGTTTAGTGAAATTGTTTAATAAAAAAAATTGTTACAAGTTTGATAATCCATCGAGTCACTCAACCATGCTTGCAATTCTCAAAAGCGTTTGAAACACATATATTACAATGTGTGTGTATGTGCGTGTGTGTATATATATATATATATATATATATACATGTTTATGTGTGTGTGTGTGTTTGTGTGTGTAAATAGTTTAATTTAATATCTTAGAAAGTGTTTAAATGAGTCTATTATTATAAATCTTTACGCCTATTGTCTGCGTCTATTTGAATGTATATTTATGAATGTGTGTGCGTGTATGTGTGCGTGTGTGTGTACGTTGGTGTACGTGTATGTGTGTGTGTGTGTGTTTGTTTGCGTGATTGTACATTTATGTCTACCATTTTGTTAACTAATTATGTTAATATTTGCATAACTAATTTGTATGTGTGAAGTGTGCTGATGTGTCTGTGTGTGTGAGTGTGTTTGTTTGTGTGTGTTAAGTTCAGTTTGAGTATTTTATTATACCTATGTTTGTGTTTTTAGGTTATGTATGAATGTTTATGTATGTATGTGTATGTGTGTGTGTGTGTGTTTAGATGTGTCAGTATGTGAGATTGTGTTTGTCTGTGTGTGTGTGTGTTGTGTGTGTGTCTGTGTGTGTAAGTGTGTTGTGTGTGTGTGTGTTTGTGGATTTAGTTAGTGTCTGTTATTGTTAATTTGTTAATCTTCGTTCACGATGAGGATTTATAAACTATGAAGATCAAATATTTACCATTACTTTTATGAACTATTATTATTTTTATTATTATTATTATTATTATAATTTCTATTACTAGTGGTAGTATTAGTATTAGTATTATTAGTATTATAATTTCTATTACTAGTGGTAGTATTAGTATTAGTATTATTAGTATTAGTAGTATTAGTAGTAGTAGTAGTAGTAGTAGTAGTAGTAGTAGTAGTAGTAGTAATAGTTGTTATAGTAGTAATCTTGATAGTAGTAGCAATTAGTAACAGTAGAGGTAGTAGTGATGAAAGGAAGAACAACAAACGAACGAATAAATAAATGACTGAATGAATGACTGAAAGGTAAAATGAAAGATATTATGGATATGATAATGATGTACAATGAAATATATAATTTTGTTCATTTATACACATATAATAAATAACCCATATAAATATAATTGTTATATATATATAATAATAATAATAATTGAATGATATATATATATATATTAATTAGATTTAACATATTATAATTTATAAATATTTAAATATTCATATTTATATATTTATTTATTTATTAGAATTCAAACTATGCGCATGTGTGATTTGCCAAAATGTTTGCAAGCTTAACAAAGGAGTTCTCGCCATACTAGTCGAAATACGTTAAGTTAGAGAGCCTATTATTATTATTATTAATATTATTATTATTGTTGTTGTTGTTGTCTTTTTGTATGTCTGTCGTGTTGTTGATGTTGTTGTTGTCGTTGTTGATGTTTCTGTGTATCTAATAATATTGTTTTTATTGTTGTTGTTGTGGTGGTGGTGGTTTTCACTGATTTTTTTTCTTTCATAAATACCTCTGAGCAAACGCGTAACATATGTGGGCATGAGAGTGGCTAAAGGGGATGCTTTCGCATTTGAAACCGGGCACTACAACATTAAAACCAGGTGCTTTAACCGTTTAACTATCTTAAAGCTATCCTTTATTGTCGCATATATGTGACAATTTTGGATTTTAAACCAATTATAATGTGTGGTCTGTTGTACAAATGATTTTTTTAAATTAACGCCATCTTTTTAGTTCGTTTAATTAATTTTTAAATTAAAAATTAATTATCAGGCAAACACAGGTATCAGGTTTTAATTAACAATACCTCAAACTAGAAAATAAATTTTCATTATTTCTTAAATGAAAATGACTACTCTCATCAAAATAATTTGTTCGTTTTATCAGCTTATAAACGCTAAAAACTGACGAAATAATATTGCATAGTATGTGTATGTGTAGTTTTACACCATACCCTATAGTAAATCTTAAAGGCTATCTTCTTTTAGTTCTCCATGTGTTCCCTGTATTACTACAAATTTCTAAGCCAGATTTAATCTATTAAAAGATACAGGTCGAACAGAGATTCTTACTGTCTCAATTAAGACTAAGAATGGGTTAAGTTAATCTAGTGCCCCATCTTGTAAATTTAGAAGGGGGTCGGAGAGAGGGGGCACATAACTTATATAACTTATGACGGATATGCTAATTCACTGCTTGGCGTGGCTACGCAATAATTTGATTTTAACCCGAAAAAAATTACTTAATTGAATAATTAATTAATTGATTACGTAAGAGTGCCAGTGAACTTTCATCTTTCGAACGAAAATTATACATCATTTATATCAGGTTTCATCAAATTATAAACCATTTTATTACGATTATTATTTGTTGTAAAAGCTGTAGTAGCAGTTTTAGTAGTAGCATTAGTAGCGACAACTGTAGTAGTACTAATAGTAGTAGCCGCAGTCGTAGTAGTAACACAGAAAATCAATGTTCTTCATAATACCCATAAACTGGCATGAAGCAATTAACACGCTTGCTTGATTTTACACACACACACACACACACACACACACACCACGCGCTCACACACTATATATGTAATCAAATTTACATACAACAACATATACAAATAATTTTATGCAACATCCTTAATTATTCAATTTTTTGTAAGGTTTAATGAGGAACTAAAGTATATATAAGACGGTAATTTCGCGAGAATTTTGTAAATTTCGTCTGTTTTTACATCAATTTTTTGAAAAAACAATTAAAAATTAAAGTGGGTTGTAAGAAAATAATTTATATTTTAATTAGTTTTTGAAAAAGTAGTTGGTTTTTTGCTGCTCTAGCGAAGATAAAGTCAGTAAGGAGTCTCAAAATGACGGCAGTTGAAACTGTGACTGTGAATAAACACAAGGATGTTACGTGTGTGTTAGTAATCAAATGAATTTTTTTCAAAGTTAAAGTTATTTATTGCTAAAAAAAACTAATTAGTTAATTAATCAATAAGTTAAGAAATTATGTCAAAATATTAAAATTTAATAAATTTTAAAAATAATAACCGCAAATGTAAAATTATTAACAATGAAACCATTAAAAACCAGTTTATCATCTGACTGCATATCCGCGAAGAAAAAAGATGTCGTTGACTTAACTGCGGTTTAAATTCTAATTAATTTAAAAAAAAAAATACTTAATAATTTATTGCCACAACTAGAAACTTTTTATGTATTTTAATTATTTAAAGTATTTCATTCGTGTCCTAGGTATCATAAAAAATATTTTTATCACCTTCACAAAAGTGGTTCCTTTCAAAAACTTCATCATTAACGATTACTAGATAGATGAATAAATCATGAAAGAATTTTTTAAACAATATCAATTCTAATCAATTTTTTAGCTCAGTTTATTAGAAATCATGAAAAATTATAAAATTGTAGTATCAATTTTAATCAATTTTTATTTGTTGATGTTAGATCATAAAATAAATTAAAAATCTTAAATGGTAAATTTTTCAGGGATTTCCAGATTATTTTCCGCCAGAGCATTTGACGTCTGCACTGCAATCCCTTGTTCGAAATGAGGACAACATTTTGACTCATCAGTACAGCAAAAAGATGGTAGGATACATACACTCCATTCATAGATTTATTTTCTAATATAAGATTTTAATTTTTTAAATTTAATTTTTAGCATTTTTAAAGATCTCAACTATGACCAATGCACGCTGTTGCTGATATAGACTTGAACCAACGCATTACAGACATTCTGTGCATTAGACGGGGGTCTTTTTGCTTTCGAATCCGGTTGCTGCAGCCGTGGTGTCAGAAACCTTTACCATCAGGCCACATAATCAAAAACATTACAGCAAACTTTTCCATTTAAATTAATGTTCACCGCACATCACATAAAAACTATTCACAATTACCTGAAAAAGACAACTACTCAATCATAAAAGGGGCATCCAAAATTGACAAAGATCCTTGCGAAACTCTACGGTGCCGAACTGAAGAGGGAGTTGAACCCGAGGACAAACGTGTTGGTGAACGCTGGTGGAGTCCATAGTCTCTTTTGTAGCATCTCTTCCATTGTCAAACCTGGAGATGAGGTTAGTAATGTTAAGAGTAATTTTATTTAAAATTATTGAAAAAAAAGTCAAAACAAAAATGTATTCGGAATCGAAACGAATTTACATTCAGAAATAAAACTGTAAAAAAAGTTTTTCTTCCTTATTTTTGCAACGAATCGCAGATCCGTCTAGTACATAATATTCTTTCCAATACTTGTAATTGAACTTTAGTGTCGACGAGGCTGTTTGTAGACTTATGCCGTATGTCTGAGTAAAATTTTTAAAATTTATTTAGTCTGGTCAGCCAATAATGTCTAAAAGTCAAAAGTCACTTGATTTGAGTGGAGTGCCACTTTTCAACTATTCGAATAAGATAAATCATTCCGTGAATAAACTTCCCTAGGTGTTTATAAAAAAATACGGAATTTAATTAAAAATAATTTGAGAAATTTACGATACAACACATTATCATCACAAGCTTGCTAAAAACTTCAAAATCAATCACAAACATTTTTATATTCATTGAGTATATTGTGTCCATAGATCCATACTTAATTAATTGAAAATAACTTTTGAACAACCGACTAAACAACAATTACACACACAACACACACACACACAACACACACACACACAACACACACACACACACATACACACACACACACATACACACACACATACAATTTGAACTTTAAAGAATTCCTAACCCAACATCAAAAACACAGGTGATAACTTTTCAACCAGCCTTCTATAGTTACGAAAGAATTATAAGACATTGTCAGGGCATCTCTGTACACGTTCCGCTCAAACTCGTCAGAAATGAAACAGCGAAATACAGTAAAAATGTTGTCCAAAATGGAACTAATCACAAAGCAGAAACGAACGGTCAAACTTCTGACCAGCCTTATGACGTAGAAAGCACTGAAGGACAAAACACTGGACGGTTTGTGTTTGATGAAGATGAATTGAGATCAAAGTTTTCAACCAAAACAAAACTCATCATCGTCAACACTCCCCATAATCCATTCGGAAAGGTGAATGTTTTGTGTTTGACGTAATTTTAATTCAGAACATTTTAGTAGGAATGGATGTTGATTGGCCATTCAAAATTTAATTAATGCTGGATTTGTCTTATCTATATAACCAGAAATTTCGAAAAAAAACTTTAAATATTTACTTGATGATACTTTTTTGATATTGTCTTTTAAAAATAATAGTATAACATTCAAAGTTTAAATTTCTTATTTTATTAAATTGAATCAGACGAAAACGTTGATATTTTCAAGATCAATTTTTTTATTTTTTCAAATTTTCAAAAATAAAAAAAAAAATAAATCCAGGTGTTTACACTGAAAGAACTGACAATAATATCGAAATTATGCATTGAGTATGGGGTGAAAGTTATCTCAGATGAGGTCTACGAGCGTATGGTTCTGCCACCAAACAAGCATCTCTCCATTGGTTTGTAAATGTTCAAAATTATCCAAAAATTTTGTTTTCAGTTATTAAATAATGAAAAAATATAACAAGCAATTACACTGGATATCACCTATTTGAAAAAGCTTTCGGAGCTAATGCTGGTTCATCTTGGTGCCATATTAATAACTTAACATTACTATTACTTAGTGTTATTTTTATCGGGATATGTGATTGCAAATGTTTGACACGTAAGAACGCTGTATAAATCACATGATATTATTACATTATATAACTATTTCATCCAGATAGCCTATAACAAATTATTTTTCCAGCTTCTCTACCCGGAATGTGGGAGCGGACGATAAAAATTGGCAGTGCCGGGAAGTGCCTGTCATCGACTGGATGGAAAGTGGGATGGTGCATCGGTTCGGATGATATGCTTAAGGAGGCCGGCAGGTTGAACAACATGTCCATTGGTAGGAGCTGTTCTATCCTATCGGTTGGATGGATTTGTGTTTTTTGAAATTCGATTTTTGTGTGTCTGGGTTTGTGTGTGTGTTTTTTGTATATACATGTGTGTGTGTTGTGTATGTGTGTGGTGTATGTGGTTGTTGTATAAATCGATTGTTATCGCAATTTTATTTTTACAACAGTTGTATATATTTTTTTAAATTGGTAGGTATTGAGGTAAAATTGAACATTTTTTTACTTTCAATAAATTTGGTAATATATCCCGACAAATGATAATCTTTAAAGCACTTTGACAACAAAACTTCAAAATTTTCATCAGTATAAACATCAAATCGATGTAAAATTTATAAAATAAAGTGCATTTCTACAAATTCTTATACCCATTCAACAAATCTTTCACCTAATTTGACATCTTTTCCATTCAATTTAACAATTTTTTCACCCAATTTGTCAATTTTTTTTACTTGAACCAGGAAGCAATAGCAATAGCTCTGGAGGAAGAATACGAAAGAAGAGAAGATCCTAGCAGCTACTTAAATAGTCTTCCAATCGAGGTATCCAACAAAGTGGATCAAGTGCTGGAGATGTTTAGAAAGGTAGGATTGAGACCCATCAAACCGGAGGGGAGCTACTATCTCATCATTGATGTGTCTGCAATTGGTTGGTTGATGTTTGTTAGTTGGGGCAGGCGTAGGTTATTTTAAATGTCATGAAACAAATTTACATTTTTGTGGTTAATTGATCGATTTTTATTGACTTATTTTGTATCGAATTTCTTTTGATTAAAGATTGTGGATCAGATGAACCGGAGCTCACCAAAGATTTGCAATTTGTTAAATGGCTTCGAAATGAAAAGGTTTATAAAAAACCGTCTTTGATGTTTCATTTCAGATTTTTCAAACTAAACAATTCATAAATAATATCTTTTTCAGAAAGTAAAAGTTTGGCCAGTTTCTAAGTTTTACGATAACAAAAATAAAGACGAAATTGATCTGAATCTGGTCAGAGTTTGCTGTTTCAAGGTAGTCAAATTAATCAATCAATCAATTAATCCATCCATCAGTCAATCAATAAATCAATCAACCAATTAATCATTTAATCAATTAATCAATAGATCAATCGATCGATTAATCAATTAATTAGATATTTATCCAACCAACAAACCGAACCACCTACCAACCAATTAACCTACTATCCATCCAATCGACCAACCATCCAACCAGCAACAAACCAACCACCAATCAACCAACCAATGATTGAACATTTTTATAAATATTCAAGCGAGAAAAAGTATTTTACATTTATTATTTCAAAACAGAGCCAAGAAACTTTAGATAAAGTGGGAAGAATGTTTGAAGGCTGGGAGATCTAAGTTGCTTTTCTCAAAATTCCTGAATTAACTTCAAACTTTTACATGCTTCTAACAAATTATAATTAAAATTGTATTGAATTTTTTGTTTTAATAAAATAAATTCGCTTCCAATTACATTGAAAAATATTTCGAATCAGACTGAAATTTATCTTTCTCCAATGAAATGATTGCCACCGTGCCACCGCCCAAATTAGTTTGTTCATTTGATCAGCATAAAAAACTTACAGAATAAATAACACGATAGGATGTATGATAATATAAAATAGGCTAGCTAAGTTTGTTACGCAGTAAATCAAAATCTTGTTCTAAACTAAAAAAAACAGATGCTATTTAAATGGTCAGAGTTCAACGACCAATGTACCGACCATCCTGACGTATAAACATTAATATCACACACGTACACTCCTCACACGGTCTCACTCACTCACGACAGCAGACACACACACAAACACATAAACACACCACATACACACACACACACACACACACAAATTTTCACACATAGAGTAGCGTGCGGGTGTCGGTATAAACGAAAACGTACAGCGAAGAGCTTGTCTCTAAATAAACTGGCTCCAAAGTTCGCTTGTAACGTAATATCAGATCTGTGAATGAAATTACTGAAGTTATACACATATACATAACACATACACACACTCACACACACACACACACTCACACACCACACTAGAGGTATCGCTGTGTCGGGACCAGTTGTTTGGAATGGTCTGCCAAATTCGCTTTGTTGCATATATAGCATAGCAATGTTTAATTTCAGTGTTGATAAACACAACAATATAGGAACCACAGTTCATCCAGCTATATAATTTTTGTTAACTAACATATAATCCTTTTAGTTATTCAGTTCTTTAATTAATAGTTATCTTATCTAAACAAACGAACGAACAAACAAACACACAAACAAACAAACAACCAAATATTCTAACGAAAATAATATTATATTTTAGAGCATGACGACTCCAAAAACATTGAGAGAAGATTCTCCAACTGACAGCCATCCAATCTCGATTTGGTTAGCTTTCTGTAACTACTATTATTCTTCAATTTTATTTCAATAATTTCTGGTAATTAATTTGAATTAATCACATTATTGCAATGAAATCGCAATATAGTATAGAGCCTACATTATAATTAATGAGTTTTTAATTGATTTCGACATTACATTTGTAATGAATAAAATATTAAATACTATGAACACATTTTTAAAAATAATTTGAATTCATTTTTTTTTTGGGGTTTTGGGGTTTAATTTACAATTGTTAAAACTAATAAAGGTACAAGATGAATGAAACTTGTATCTAAAAAAATGAGATCGGTTACTAGTATAAAAAACCTGAAAAACAATCATATCAAAATGAACAATATTTAACAGGAACTACCAAGATTCGACCCCTGCGGACACTGACGCGATAAACTTCACAACAGTTCTTATTTTTCATTTTATTATTTTTTCTTTGATGGTTTTATTTTTTTATTTTTTATTATTATTTTTTTTTAATTAAAATTTAACTCTCCGTCAGGGTTTTCCTGATTTCTCCCCGCCAAAACATGTTTCGTCTGCCTTTAAGTCCCTCGTCAACAATGAGAACAATAACTCCCTCATACACCAGTACACAAAACAGACGGTTTGAATAAAAATTGTGGCAAAAATTTTCAAATTTTTAAATGTTTGTTTGGTAATACCAGCTTTAAAATTTCTTTGCGATTAACTTTCTTTTATTTTGTTTTTTTTTATGAAAAAAATTTTTTAGCGCGCTAATTTCCTCTGTTTCTCATTATTATTTTTATTGCTGTTTCAAATTTTTCCATTTAAGAAAAACCAAAAATACTAAAACTCATCAACAGCTCTTAACAACTATCATATAGCAAACTATTTTACCACTAGGGCCATCCAAGGTTGGCAAACATTGTAGCGAAGTTGTACGGGACCGAGTTGAAGAGGGATTTGAACCCGGAGAGGAACGTTTTGGTCACAGCAGGGGCGGTCCATGGTCTCTTTTGCTGCATTTTTTCCCTCGTCAGACCGGGAGATGAGGTCAGTAGTGTTCTTAAATGAAGTTCTTATGAATAGCGTCAGCAAAAAATAATCTGTAGAAAATTTTAAAATTTAAACAAAAATGAAAAAAAGTTTCCTCATCTGAAGGCCCAAAAAGTAAATGTTATTTACGATGTTAAACAAACCAGAGTTGCCGGTTCAAATTGATACAAATGTTGGACGTGGCTACTTAAAATATAACAAGAGCCAAGCCACGAATGAAATTTGATTGAACCATTAAAAGATGTTGAAAAATTGGCACAGATTGCATTATTAACTCCCGAAGTATAAGTAGTATTTAATAAACTGACATTTTAAACAAATGCACACGCACATACCCACGCACGCACACACACACGCACACACACACGCACACACACACACACAGGTGATAATATTCCAGCCAGCATTCAAAGGCTTCAGTTACATAGTGAATTCATGTGGTGGAGTGCCTGTGTACGTCAAACTAAACATTGTTGAAGATGACAAATGCAAAAACGACACGCCAGTCACAACATCTGACGCTAACCAGAAACTTAACGACCGTGACCTTCATACAACACGTTTTGAGTTTGATGAAGAAGAATTGAAATCCAAATTTTCCGCAAAAACTAAACTGATCATCGTAAACACTCCTCATAATCCGCTGGCTAAGGTTCGCTTCACAATGCAACTTGATCAATTGGTTTAATGGTCTAAAACTGGATTCACGCACATTCATGTGTGTGTGTGTGTGTGTGTGTGTGTGTGTGTGTGTGTGTGTGTGTGTGTGTGTTGTTGATACTTACTAAAAATTAATTAAAAAAATTAATAACAGTAATACACTGGAAGATGAATTCATATTTAAGCGAAACTTTAAAATAAATTAACTAGAATTTTCTTAAAAGTTTTTATAATTTTTTTTTATAAATCATTCAAAATTTTTTTCAAAATTAAATGAAACATAAATTGGAGGAACTCACTCATAAAAGGTATTCACCACTGATGAATTGTCGAAGATTTCCCAGCTATGCACCAAGCATGATGTCCTCTGTATCTCAGATGAAGTCTACGAGCGAATGGTGCAGGAACCGCTGAAGCACGTCTCGATTGGTTGGGAGTTTTTAATTCTAATTTTTCTTTAATTTGGGGCTGATGTGGGCACGTTTAACATAGAGTCAGAAACAACACACAAACACACACATAACACACAGACACACACACCACAAACACAAATCTTTTTTATTTTTAAAAGATCAAAATCCGACAGACGCAAATTCTGTTACAACTCTTATTAACCAGCTAGGCAAGTGACAGAGAAATTGAAAGATAATTCAATGAACGAACAAATTAAGCAACCAAAAACGTTTAGAATTTATAGTAAAACGTCCGAGATGTTAGAAATTAATATGGTTTTCATTGGTTCTTCTACTCTCTTCTATTAGAAGATCATAAATATTAACTAAACCACGTAATAAACGAACATGCTTTTTTCAAAAGAATTTTTTTATTCATTTAACACACGACATTTTAAAATTATCGTAAGAAAAATAAAATTAATAAAATCCCGAATAACACTTTCCATCAGCCTCCCTACCAGGTATGTGGGAACGCACGTTGAAAATTTGCAGTGCTGGGAAGTTACTTTCCGTTACGGGATGGAAATTGGGATGGTGCATCGGTCCGGATGATCTGATCCGGAAGGCTGTCACCATGCACATCGCTTCCGTACACAGGATTGCTACTCCCCTTCAGGTTTGCTTGTAATGAAGTTTGAAAGTTATGAAACGTTCCAGGCATTTTTATTCAGATAAAATTCAATACTGAGACTTTATTGAGTTGGTTTTAATGTTTCACTGATTGCATCCAAAGATTTTATAAAAAAAATTTTGTTAACATGGAGTTTCAATGCTAACACGGTTACGACTAAAGTTAAAAATAAAAAAAAATTATGATTCAAATTTCAAAACAAACTCAATTACTAAATTTATTTAAAAAAAAATGTCTTTAAAATCTCAAAATAAGGAAGCAGTGGCGATAGCTTTGGAGGGTGAGTACACTGGCAGAGAAGATCCAAACAGTTATTTCAATAGCCTTCCCCGAGAAATTTCAACCAAAGTGGATCAAGTGTGTGAGATCTTTCTCAAATTAGGATTGAAACCTCTCAAACCTGAAGGAAGCTATTACGTCGTTGTCAATGTTTCAAACTTCGGTGCGTTCAGCCATTTTTATTTTACATTTTTCCTTCATAATCTTTTCAAATATCTTCTTAATTCTCTAAGTGTTTTGACCGATTGTTTTTAATATTTTAACATAAATTTTACGTGAAAATATATTTGGAGGGAAGATTTTTTCATTTTATTTAAATTTTTATAAAGATTTTCCAGTCAAAGACAGCAGCCAAACTAAAGATTTTCAATTCGCTAACTGGCTGCTCAACGAAATGGTTATTTCTGCATAACTTAAATGAAGCAGTCACGAAAAATTAAACAAATAAAACTTATTTTTACAATTTTAACGTAAACAAATTTACACATTATAACTCATTGTATTCTAGGTCAATGTTTTACCAATGCTATTTTTAAATTTATAGAGCACATTAGCCATTGAGTTAGGTTTCAATTGAGTTTTGCCAATTGGTGATATTCATTCTTTCAATAATAAACATTTCAATACTCATAAGTTTAAATAAATAAACAATGAAATATTTAAAACAATGAAAGATAAACATTTTTTCATTATGACTTACGCAGAAAATAGCAGTTTTGCCGGTGACTATGTTTTACGATATCGAAGACAGGAATGAAATCAATGAAAGTCTTGTAAGAATTTGCTGTTTCAAGGTAAATTGATGTAATGTGATGTAGTAATTTAAATGCAAAGAAGATGTAATCGAGGCAGTGCAATGCGATGTAAAACAACTAATGTCTTAATGTTAATGTAACTAAGGTGATGGAACTTATTGTTTTAAGGTAATTTAAAGTTATGTAATAATAGAATGCATCCGTAACAATGCGGTAAATCTGTATTAATGACTTAATGTAACGACTTAAAAACTGTAATGTGTGATTTAATGTCATTTGTAACGTAACTTACCGAAATATAACTTGTCATGGCATGATGTTATTATTATGCATTCTACTGTTTCAAACCGATGTAAGGTAAAGTTTTTTGTTGTTGCGTGTAATGTAATTAAAACGCTTTTTTATAAACGATAGTTTTTTAATTGTTTAAAATTTTTCAATAAAAAGCTTAATGGCACTAGTTGGATAAATTTTTTCAATTGACAAATTAAATGAATATTTTTAATAAATGGTTTTTTTTCAACAATAGCGCTATGAAACGATAGACCGGGCAAGAAGAATCATTGAAGATTGGAGCGATACCAAATAGATTTATATATCTATTTCTTCCGATTTTTTACCAAATTAAAACAAACAAATATTTTATCGATAGATTAAAAAACCTCTTTAAATCAATTTATTTATAAATTAAATCATTTTTATTTTAGTTTTTATTTGAGATATGTTAGTTTAAGAATTTAAAGTAGCTTTAAATACAGTTCAAGAGAAGTTTAATCAAATGTTTATAAATAAAATTTAATCAATTCAAGATTATATGAAATCAAGATAAAAAAAATTAATCATGATCATCAAAAGAACCTAAGTAAACCAAGAAAAATTATAAAAATTCAAAATCTTTCCACGATTTTTTTGATAGATGTAACCTAGTTCTTATATTGTAATTATTTTCATTGTTTCTGCCATTGTCGCGACTGCTGGCGCTGCCGTTGCTACCACTGACGCTACCACCACTACTGCTATTTGTTTGGTTTATAGCTGGAGTTTTTGTTAAGAACTCTAAATTTGTTAGAAGTTCTATGTCTCTTATTCTCGCTCTGTTTTCGGTAATAAACTGAGCTGATGTCTAGAAGAAAAATAATTTTTCAAAGTTAATTAGTTGAAACATACCTAAATTCATAATGTGTAAAACTAAGATATATATCATTGAGTCATAAGTTGCTAGATGATAGCTGTTTTGTTGGTCAATAATATGGAAAATTATTTTTTTTCAAAATTTCAATATTCAATTTCAAATTAAGCATTTGTAAACATATTTTACTTTGTCTCAAATAAACTTTAAATTAAAATTTTCAAAACATAATCAATGATTTAAATAGAATCAACGAAAGACATAAACATTATGGTATAATACTAACAAACATCCCTCAGCCATGCCTCATAATCAACCGACCTGGCAATAATGCTTAGCTCCTCTGGCGTTATTCGGGATGACGAACGCAATGCTATCAAAGTTTGGTGTCCCAACATTTTTCTGGACTGGTAAAAGAATGGCGTAGTAGTGGCTTGGAATTGGTATTCCTTTAACTGTTCTGTCAGTCAATCATTTTTTAATAAGTTTTCAAACTTTTTCTTTAAAATAATTTTTAAAATATTTTGTGATGAATATGCGAATGGGAAAAGGTTAGAGGCATTTTTCCCCCACCTGTCATATGCAATGTGTTTGATGCATGGCCTAAATGTGTATTCGCGTGCGTTGTGTGTGTGTGAGTGTGTATGTCTCTGTGTGAGTGTGTGTGTGTGTAGGTGTGTGTGTGTGTGTGTATGTGTGAGTTTCGTTGGTAATACACGACCAAATGCAGTGATATAACGTTCAACATCCTCACACATTCTACCGAAAGCAATGTTTTCACAAACTACTTTTTACCACAAATTTGAATAATGATTGATCGAATTAAAAGAAATACGTTGAGGAACATGGGAAGTAAATTAAATTCTCATCGAAATGATAACGTGAGTATATGATGAGCATCAAGGAGGGACGAACTTATTAATATTCGAATCGATCAAACCGTCAGAGTCGTAATCGAATATGGGACCTAGGACAACATCGGTTCTCGGCGAATATTTGCCAATAATCGCCATCAGCGGACACCATGTTTCTGTTTCAAGTAGAATATTTATTAAAAATTATGATAACAAGAATAAATATTATTTATAATAATAATAGTTATAATAATAATAATTAAGAATTATGATAACAATAATAAATATTAATAATAATAATAATAATAGTTTTAATAATAATAATTAAGAATTATGATAACAAGAATAAATAGATAATAATAATAATAGTTATAATAATACTAATTAAGAATTATGATAACAAGAATAAATAGATAATAATAATAACAATAATAATAATAATAATAATAGTTATAATAATAATAATTAAAAATTATGATAACAAGAATAAATAATGATAATGATAATAATAATAATAATAATAATAATAATAATAATAGTTATAATAATAATAGTTATAATAATAATAATTAAAAATTATGATAACAAGAATAAATATTAATAATAATAATAATAGTTATAATAATATTAATTAAGAATTATGATATCAAGAATATATATTAATAATAATAATAATAATAATAATAGTTATAATAATTAAGAATTATGATAACAAGAATAAATATGGGAACATCCTTTTATTTTCTAACTCCAAATACCAAATATTAATAATGAAATAATTATAAAATCCTATTTAATCTAATAATAATAATGATAATAATAATAACAATAATGATAATAATAGTAATCAGGATAATAATGATAACGAAGAGAGTTTTTACTATACCAGAGTACATCTTTTTGTGCATAGGAACGATGTTAGTGAGTAACTTTGTGTCCGGTGAGTCATCTTCTGATGAAGATGACCATTCTGGAAATGATGACGATGGCGATGACGATGGTGATGATGGTGGTCACTTTTTTTGTCACTCATTCACTCATTCACTCACTCACTCACTCACTCACTCACTCACTCACTCACTCACTCACTCACTCACTCACTCACTCACTCACTCACTCACTCACTCACTCACTCACTCACTCACTCATTCACTCACTCACTCACTCACTCACTCACTCATTCATTCATTCATTCATTCATCCACTCACTCACTCACTCACTCACTCAATCATTTACACAATCACTCACTCACTCACTCAATCACTCAATCAATCACTTATACAATCACTCACTCACCTTTAATGAGTGAAACAGGTGTATAATCACCACTACCATCATCATGAAGATCAGTCCATTCTTGGCATCCTATCTGCTCATTTTGAGTCAGTCTGGGATCTGGGATCAACTTATCCGGACGTAACGACGGACAGACGTCTGGATGAGATCCGCTGGATGGCTTGTTTTTTGGCAGCAAAAAATAAATTACTATTTTTCTGTAATAATTTTCTCTTCAGTATCACTTCATCACCAAAGTTATATAAATAATTATACAAAATATAAAAAAACTGATGATAATAATAATATTTTTGATAATAATAACCTGAACGTATCTGTAAGCTGACCACAAAGGCAGCCTTATATTTTTATTAAAAGCCGAAACGAAGGCATTTTGGTGAAGTATACATACATTACTACTGCTACTACTTGTACCATTACTGTTTGTGATTAGGCTAGTATGGTTTGAGTATTTTGGCGTTCCGTGGTCGAGGTGTTTCTCTAGTAGGAATTTTCTCTCCGAGTCTGATTTGTTCAATCTCTGAAACTAAATTAATTGAAAAATGAATGATTGAATGAATGAATGAACGAACGAACGAACGAACGAACGAACGAATGAATGAATAAATGAATAAGTGAATGAATGAATGAATGAATATATGGAAATGTGAATGACTGATTGACTGATTGATTGATTGATTGATTGATTGATTGATTGAGTGAGTGATTGAGTTAGTGAGTGAGTGAGCGAGCGAGTGAGTGAGTGACCTAATGAGTGAGTAAATGAATGAATGAATTGAATAACTTCATATTTCTGTTCGCTGCAACCAAAAACACTGAAATTCGTCCTGGCTTTTAGATCGTTTTCATTTCTTGGAAATGTACAGTTCTCATAACCTGAAGATGATGTAACAGGGAGTGACGTTTCATTTTTGAGGAAATGGTTCAGTGATCCAGCAGTTCCGTTGTTTGGGGACGGTCGGACCCCCAGTAAGTCTGCCATTTGAATCATTTTGAGATGAAAATTAAGTTTTTATGAAAAAAAATAAATAAATTAATTATTTTGAAATTTGAAAAAAAGGAATTGTTTAATTAATTAGTTTGAAATTACCAGAATAAAAAAAGAAATTTGATTATTTGAACAAAAATTATAATAATAATATATTGAAATAACCATTAGTTGAATTTTATAAGAGTAATATAATTTGCATGTGTAATTAATTACGTAATAAAATTTTATGTGTGCGTGTTTGTGTGTGTGTTTGGTGTGTGGATGTGTGTCTGTGAATGTGAATCAATAAACCCTTGCAACCATCAACAAATTATAGTTTTCAAAACAACAGCCATTCAAAATCAATCGATCCAGCCAGCCAATCAAATCAATCGAACAATAGGACGCGCTTAAAATAAACTGACGTGACATTAAGTTGTAGAGTTCGATGTTCTCAAAGGTTCCTTTGTACGACTTTCTGGATTTGAAACTTGGACCAAAAGCTACAAACAACGCCTATGAGAATTTATCGTCATCATCATCAGCATCGTCATCACCATCATCATCGTCATCATCATCATCATCGCAAACTCATATACTATCATAATCGTCATCGTCAACGCCATCATCATCATCATCCCATAACCATCATCATCATCGTCGTCGTCGTCATCATCACCTCCATGGATTTATGTTGAGGATCCCATCCGTGGTTCCCAAAAAGATCCCAAGGCTCGTCCCTGTAACATCATCATCCTAACCATCATCATCATCATCACTAGTATCATCATCATTATCGAGAACAGCTTCACAATCATCATTATCATCATATCATTAATACTATGTTCATAATTTTCATCAGAATTTGTTCCACTTCATCATCATCATTATCACGTCATTACCATCCTCACGCCATCATCATCAGTATCATCATCATCATTACTTAAAAGCCTGCCACGTGTCTTTCACCATGAGGATGACGTCATCAATTCTGTTGCTAGTGACGTAATGATAGCGTTTGGCGACTTCCCGCTTGTTGTAACTGACCATTTGGTCCACTTTACAGTTGAGTGTGGCTGATATCACGTCCGGGTCAGCTGATTTCGGAATGACGATCATGAGATGGTGAGGATGATGATGATAGTGGGAAGATTCTATGATAACGATGAAGATGTTGATGATCACAAACTCCCATCATCATCATCATCATCATCATCATCATGGTTGACACTTCAGTCATCATTACAACAATCACAATCAGCACCACCACCACACGTGACCCCATACTCATGACGACTTTGATTTTCTGGGGCTATCTCAGTGACAAGATCACTTTTCGCTCCGTAGGTGTAGGTTGTGGAAATCCGTGATGAAGCACCCTCGTAAATGTACGTCCTCTTCCGGTCATTAGGGGACAGAAGTCTGGATATGTTAAGGGAGCGATCCGTGTGAGTGGGACTCATTCCTGTGTGGAAAGTGGTGACGATGAGGGAGATGGTTATTTATAAAGATGATGGTGATGATGGAGATGATGATGATTATTAGGATAATTATTGAGAGGAAAATTATGATGGTTGGCATGGTGATGATGATAAGGATTTTAATGATGATGATGACGAAGAAGAAGATGATGTTGATAATGATGATCATGTAGGTGTTTG